CACACACACACACACACACACACACTACATATGCAATCATAGCTATTACTGAGCACTTCTACAGCACCTCACTCTTTGGCTTTTCATATATAATATCCCACTTAACCTTCAACAATCTTGCAAGGAAGAGATTATTTGCATTTTACAGATGAGGAAAAGAGACTTGCAAGATTTGATCAGGTTCTGGGCACAGCGGTGCACATCTGTAATCCCAGTTGCTCAGAAGGCTGAGGCAGGAGGATCTCAAGTTCAAGGCCAGCCTCAGCAACTTAGTGAGGCTCTAAGCAACTTAGTGAGACCCTAAGCAACTTAGTGAGACCCTGCTCCATAAATGAAAAATAAAAAGGGCCAGGGATGTTGCTCAGTGGTTAAGCACCCCTGGGTTCAATCCCTTGTTAAAAACAAATAATAATAATTGAGCATGTATGTGACACAGTTTTTTGGTTTGTTTGTTTGTTTGTACAGGGATTAGATCCAAGGGCACTTTTCCACTGAGTTACATCCCCAGCCCTTTTTTTGGGAGGAGGGATGTACCGGGGATTGAACTCAGGGGCACTCGACCACTGAGCCACATCCCCAGCCCTATTTTATATCTTTTTTAGAGACAGGATCTCACTGAGTTGCTTAGCACCTTGCCGTTGCTGAGGCTGGCTTTCAACTCTTGATCCTCCTGCCTCAGTCTCCCAAACTGCTGGGATTGCAGGCGTGCACCACCACAGCCCTTTTTATTTTGAGACAAGATTTCTCCAAGTTGCTGAGACCCGCCTGAATTTGGAATCCTCCTGCCTCGGCCCCGAGCTGCTAGGATTACGGGTGTGGGCCACCGTGCCCAGCTGTCAGATTTCAATTTTTGAAAACTTGCCCTGAGGACTTGTGTGGGATGGCTCGGAGGCCCTGTGAGGAATCAGTGGCTAGAGGGAGGGTCTCGTGGAGATCTGATCAGGGACCCATTTCCTTTACCTGTGGAGAAGACAGAACCCTGTGAAAGACATGGAGCTTTTGCCCATGTCCCTCCCACACCTGGAACAAATGACACAAGTCCAAGTTCTCTGAATGGGTGTGTATGGGTGTCCCTCCAGTGTGGGACCCAGTCTAGGGTGAGGTGTCTAATACCCTTTCCCTAGGGGAGAGCTGAGATGGACAGAGTATGTCCAGAGGGGAGCCCAGGGTTGCCTCCTCTGCTGGCAAGCTACTAAGATGCATGCACGCCTAAACGTAGCCCCGGGAACCAGAGGCCCAGGGGACTGCGTTTCCTAGTTTGCCCAAGGTGACCAGGAAGCCCTGTGCCCATTATCATGGCAGCTGCCCAATTCAGAGCCTCGTTAAGCAAAGCCAGACACCATCTCTGATCCTTTGCTCAGTTGCAGTTAGGCATGGTCTCTGGGCTGCCACACAGAAGTGCAGTGGTCAGCTGGGGGTAGCTCAGCAATAGAGCATAGGTTTAGCTGGGTTCAATGCCCAGCACCAAAAAAAAAAAAGAAAAAAAAAAAGAAGAAGTGCCATTTCTGCAAAGTCAGGGAGGTGAGAGAAGGAGGGGAAGTCCCCTGAGTCCACTCTGTTGAAAGTTCCTTTGCAGGGCTAGGGGTGTGGTCCAGTGGGGAAGTGCTTACCTGGCATGCACAGGGCTCTGGGCTTATCCCCAGTACTGCCAAATAAATAAACAAGCAAAGGTCTTTAAAAGAAAGTTCCTTTGAGCCAGGTGCTGTGGTGCACTCCTGTAATCTCAGCAACTCGGAAGGCTGAGGCAGGAGGATTGCAAATTTGAGGCCAGCCTCAGCAATTTAGCAAGGCTTTGAGCAATTTAGAGAGGCCTTGAGCAACTTAGACCYGGCTCAAAATATAAAATAAAATAATGTGGCTTCACGGGAAAGCAGCCCTGGGTTCAATATCCAGGACCAAAAATTTAAAAAAAAAAAAAAAGAAAAGAAATTGTATCTGTCACTTCCAATGGGGCCTGCCACCTAGCACATCAAGAGTATTGGCGGGATGGGTRGGGGGCCCACCTTCTCCTCTTCTGTCTCTTCCCCTGTAAAGAGGCATCCTGGGGGGTGGCTCGGAGGCCTGAGGCTGGATGGTGGCTGTGGGGTGGACCAGGCCTGAGTCCTGGTCCTTGTTCTGCCAGGGCCATGAATGTTCTGTGCCAAAGGAGTGTGCTGTCACTGCCAGGCCCAGGTTTCTGGGACTTGGCTGGTCTGGAGGTTCCTTGAGCCCAGGAAATCCAGGTCTGTGGATGGGGCTGGAAGTCTCAGCTCAGGGCTTCGGGGCCGGGCTGCAGGGCCTGTATTTCCTTCCTTGCATGGATGCAGGAATTCTCCGCAGGAAATGGGGGGCAGTGTTCTAGTGGAGGTACAGGCACACACTGCCACATTCGCCGTTTCAAAGTCGATGCAGTGGGTCAGTGTGGTCACAGAGCTCTGTGACCATCATCACTATCTGATTCCAAAATAATTCGTCATTCCAAAAAGAAACCCCCTACTCACTAGTCTCCCCCACAGCAGCCCCTCTCCCTTCTGTCTCCATGATTTGTTTTTTTTTTTTTTTTGGTCCCTCAGATTGAGCCCAGGGGCACTTAACTACTGAGCCACATCCCAGCCCAGCCCATTTTATTTTTTATTTTGTGACAGGGTCTCACTAAGTTGCTTAGGACCTTGCTAAGTCTCTGTGACTAGCCTTCAACTTCCTGTCTCAGCCTCCCAATGGCGGATTATGGTGTGTGCCACCGAGCCTGGCTTTTTTGGACTTCTAAGTAGCTGGGACGACAGAAACCCTCCACAGTGCCTGGCCTTTTACACCTGTCTTCTCATGTAGCACAGTGTTTTCATGATTCATCCACGTTGTACTATGTATCAGTACTTCATTCCTTTTCCTAGCTGAATAATACTCCATTGTATGAATGCACAACACTGTAGATATCCATTCATCACTTGATGAACATTTGTGTTTCCAGTTTGTGTGTGTGTGTGTGTGTGTGTGTGTGTGTGTGTGTGTGTGGTACTAGGGATTGAATCTAGGGTTTCATGCATGCTAGGCAAGCCTTCTACTGCTGAGCTACATCCCCAGCCCTTTTTATTTTCTTTTGAGATAGTGTCTTACTAAGTTGTTGAGGCTGCCCTTGGACTTGGGATCCTCCTGCCTCAGCCTCCTGAGTTGCTGGGATTACAGGCTTGTGTCACTAYGCCTGGCTAACATTGGGAGGTTTTATGTAGACCTGTGTTTGCATTTTCTTGGGGATACACCTCGGGGTGGAATTGCTGGGTCAGATAGTAATTCTGTGTGTGACCTCTGAGGAACTGTGCCAGTCTGTTYTCCAAAAGAGCTGCACCTTTTCACAGACCAGCCAGCAGGGTAGGAAGGGACTGGCCCTGTCCTGAACACTCCTGTGTGCGGGCACTGTGCCGCCTGGGATCCTCACATGGACCCATTATTCCCTCTACTGGACCCAGCAGGACACTGAGGCTCAGAGAAGTGTCGTAACTCCCCGAGGGAACACGCGGGGAGACCTAGATTCACGCCCAGATCTGTCCCTGACGCTTTCCCCTCTACTCGGCGATTGCTGACTGGGTGGCCTGGGGGTGCTGGACTCACAGAGGCCTCTCCCCGGCCAATGTTCTACAGACAGGAAAGTTGGACCCCCACTACCCGAAGGTCTGTGGGCACCGCGGGAACGTCTTAGACATCAAGTGGAACCCTTTTGATGACTTTGAGATCGCCTCCTGTTCAGAAGACACCACGGTGAGTGTGGGCACTGGCCCCTGGCCGGGAGGGGGTGGGGCGGGGCAGGCAGGCCAGGTGACATCTACTGGGCTCCAGGGGGCTCACCTTCATCACGGAGGGGGGGTCGCCACGTGGGGAGGGTGAGACGTTGAGAAGTCCTGGGCACTGTGGGACGTGGGGACCACTCCTCTCTGGGGCCTCTGTTTCCCCACTTACAAAATGGGTACAGAATAGCTTCAGCCCATCTCCTGAGGGTCCAGGGAGAGTCGGCTCCAGTGGGAGAGCCTGCCCTCTGGGGGACTGCAGCATGCTGCAAGGGACATTTTTATTGTGGTCAAAATCTAACATGCCACTCGATCTCACAGACGGTGGGGAAGTGAACTAGAAAATGATGGAAACAGGAGCCTTGTTGACCGTGGACCCCATAAAGCTGGGTGTGGTGGCTCACGCCTATGATCCCAACCACTCAGGAGGCTGAGGCTGGAGGATCTCAAGTTCAAGGCCAGCCTCAGCAATTGAGCAAGTTTCCCTGTCTCAAAATGAAAAAGGGCGGGGGATGTGGTTCATGGGTTAAGCCCCCCCCCCCCCCCCGAGTTCAATTCCTGGTACCAAAATGAAACAAAACAAAATATGGGCTCCAGAACCATCCCAGAAGGTCAGTCCACCATTTCAAAAGGTCAAGGTCAGTCCCACCAACTTTTTCTTTTTTTTTTTTTGTTTTTTTTAGATGAGGTCTTGCTGTGCTGCCCAGGCTGACCTTGAACTGCTGGGGTCACTAGTGATCCTCTTGCCTCAGCCTCCTGGGTACCTGGGACTGCAAGCATGAATCACCATGCCCAGTTTTCACCCACTTTTTTGAGCTCCTCCTGTATACCAGAGACCTAGTCACTGTCACCACAATGTTCAGTGTCATTTACTTATAATTCATCCTGTAGCTCCTCCTAAAACAATAATGGTTGTGGCTTAAAAAGCGCAGGTGCAAGCAGAAGATGACAATAAGGTGACAGGGCAGGCATCATTTCTTTGCCGTCCCGCTGCATTCTTGACTCAGGACACTTAGTTCACTCCGTCTTCCCAGCRACCCCACAAGGGAGAATGTCTTTCGGGTGGACAAGCCCAGGGTCAGAGAGGGGCAGCACCTTGCCACGTTACAATGACAGGTGTGACCGACAGCAGAGCCCCTCCTCTGTCTGCTGAGCTGGGCCACGTTCCTCAGAGCCGCAGATGGAGGACACGGGGAAAGAGCTCTGTGGGCAGCTGCAGCAGGAAGGGAAACAGAGTGGCTCGCAGAACCTCCCGCTGGATGGAAGGAGGCGGAACAGTGTGTGGGGCAAGGCGGGCAGGCATTTCCCAGAGGCTTTGTGTCGTGCCCATACAGGAGACTGCTGAGAAACGTAAGGGACCGTTTCACCAAAAGGGCAGTCGAGGCCTGGGACAGAGGGCCTTTCTCCAGTGAGTGTGGCTGCTGGCAGGATGCCACCCCTAGCTCAGCCGCCCTCCCTGATCCCTTCCCTCTCCAAGCARCTCTGCAAGCCCCCTAGAAGGACAGTCACTCTCTCTCTCTCTTTTTTCTCTTTTTGGTACCATGGGTTGAACCCAGGGGCACTTGACCACAGAGCCACATCCCCAGCTCTATTTTAGAGACAGGGTCTCACTGGGTTGCTTAGCACCTCACTTTTGCTGAAGCTGGCTTAGAACTCACGATCCTCCTGCCTCAGCCTCCTGAGTCCTGGGATTAGAGGCGTGTGCCACCGCGCCCAGCTAGAAGGTCTATTTWTTAAAGACCTCATGGCCTGCCGCGGTCGCTTCTCTGATAGCCCAGGGGCAGTGGCCATGATTATTGGGATTGGGGTGTTTGTTGGTCAGCTCTCTGCAGCTGTGACAAATGCTGGAGAAGACAACCTAGAGGGGGAAAGGCGTATTTGGGCCCCTGTTTTCAGAGGTTCGGTCCACGCTGGGCTGGCTCCGCTGCACTGGGTCTGAGTGGGGCAGAGCCTCGTGGCGAAGGGCGTGGCAGGGGAAAGCCACTCACCCGTGACAGCAAGTAACAAAGAGAGAGAAGGGCCYGGGGACAAGAAATGCCCTTGCAGGGCACACGGTGAGAGGCGCTGCCTCCAGCTAACCCCCCCCACCCCCATCCTAAAGCTGCCACCATGTCCCACAATGCCATCAAACTATTAATCCCTCTGTGGATCAATCCACTGATGCCGTCAAAGCCTCACGATCTCATCCCCTTTCTAAAGCCCCAACATTGTGGCCTTGGAGACCAAGCCTTCCGCCTTCCATGAGCCTTTGGGGGACACCCCAGCCTCAACAGAGGGGAGCAAATTCATTCTGGGTAAATGCATCTGTGGAAAGTGCCAGGCTGACTGCTCTGTGCCCCCAGGCCCTGGGCTGGGCACCATGGGGATGGGCCAGCAGCAGACCTGCCCAGAACCTGTGTTCCAGCCAAGTCCAGCTCTGTGCAGTGACAGCCCTCCCCGGCCTGCCCTGTCTGAAGCCTGTGCCTCTCCAGACAGAGTTCACTTCCTAGTTTCAGATCCAAGGCCATCAGGAAATAGGTGTTAGCTGAATGATTTAAAAAGTCTCCCACCTGAAAAACCTGTCTGTCCCTAAGGGAAGTGTACACACATCACCTAGRACCTGAGAACCCAGCAGGACAATAGGAATGTCAAGGCAGCACCATCCCTGGCTGCATCTCCATTGGTGTTCTCAGGATGGGCTTCCTCCTTGCCATGGCAGTCCCCCTCTGTGTTCAGACGAYACCACTCTAGAAGGGAGCCCCGGGCCCTCACGGTGAAGCTCAGCCTCRGACCGCTGCAGCCCAGCCTCCTGGCCAGTGGCCTTTCCTCCCCCAGGCCACCCACAGTTCCTCTCTAAGTCCAGTCTGTGGCTGCCCTTCCCTGCTCCAGGGCCCACAGTGATTCCCGAGTGCCCTGAGAACATAGCCCAACCCCTTCATCCAGACAGTTGAGGCTCCACTCTGAGCCTCTGAGCAAGGAGAAGGAACACTCTTGAGCAGTCTTCCTAGGCTGAGAAGCAGATTTGCACTGGCATCCAGCCTGGGAGACATGCCTATAGTCCACCCACCGGCCACCACCTCCGGCCGTCAAGATGGCAAAAATGAAGCCAGGCATGGTGGGACACAGCTGTAATCCCAGGCACTCAAGAGGCTGAGGCAAGAGGATCACAAGTTTGAGGCCAGCCTCAGCAATTTTGCAAGGCCCTAAGCAACTTAGAGAGACCCTGTCTCAAAGAAATAAAAAGAGCTGGGGATGTAGCTCAGTGGTAAAGAATCCCAGGTTCAATCCCTAATACAAAAAA